CTGGGCAACTTGGCAAGACATCTAGATTATTTGATTCTAGAATAAATCAAAAAATTAGCCGGGTGTGGTGGTGAGCATCTGTGGTTCCAGCTACTTGGAAGGCTGAGGTGGAAGGATCGTCTGAGCCCAGCAGGTTGAGTCTGCAGTGGCTGTGAGCATGCCACTGCACTCCAGCCTGGGTGACAGAGTGAGACTCCAACTCAAAAAAAAAAATTGGACACATTATAATTCCACCAAATTCTAACACAAAGCAAGCGACAGCTCAGGAACTCTGTAAATGGAAAAACAGTGTATGGTGCCTGCGTGGATTCATTCTGAAATGCGTGGAAGAGCACTTTGAAAATTATGCTCAGGCCTGGATGTTAAATATCCAGATGAGTTGGTGGCTGAGGCCAGAGCGGCCCACGTACCCTCTGGAAGGCGCCTCCTTCCCTCTGAACACACAGCCCACCTGCCAGTATCTTTGGTTCCCTGGTGGTTTCTGGTCATTGTGGACTCTGTTAGGAAGAGGTTCTGGAATGTTCTTGTATACAGTGGCTTACGTAGGACTTCAGGTGCTCCCACGGTTGGGGAGTGTCTGAGGGGTCTGAGCCCCTGCTTTGCCCAGAGTTTGCAGGAAAGCCTCCAGTTGGGTGTGAGTTCCAGCAATTGTCCCAGATGTTCCTGAGCTTCATGTTCTGGGTGGCCTGCTGCTACGGGTTCTTCACTTGGAAGCTGGCCTTTTCCTCATGAGGACACTTGACTCTTGGCTACTCTTAAGATGGATCGGCAGAGTGCCTGTTCTCATGTAATGATCTTTATGCACTTTCATTTGTTTTAATGACTCTTATCATATGGATTTTTAAGGCTTGATTAGTGTTGATGGGAATGAAACTATGTGATGTTGAAGCTATTCTAAGATGTGTAGACTGTAAACCACAAATACATTGTGGAAGATGTTTCCAATGAGAAATTATTTTAATAATAATAGTGGGGCCGGGCTCAGTCTGTAATCCCGCGCTTTGGGAGGCCGAGGTGAGTGAATTGCCTGAACCTGCGGGTTCGAGACCTACCTGGGCAACTTGGCGAGATCTCATCTCTACAATAAATCAAAAAA